CTGCTCTTCATGCCCTCCCTTTCCTCACTGTTCTCTTGTGCTTGCTCACTCTGGAGTTCGAAATAGAAGTGGAGATGAAATTGCGATCAGGACATCATAGGATAATCATGTGGGATAATGGAGCAGGGAAGGATGCTAAGGGAGATGCTTTTTAGGTTTGCAGTGCTGCACTGATAGCTACTTACCTCCCCTAAAACACTTCTTCAGCTTAAGTGAGGGTGACCTGCAGGATGCCCTAGCTAGTTCTTGTTAGCAGAAGATGGTAATGAATCCCCAGCGTCCCACCAAGCTGCAGAGCTATGCATGGCAGGCCCCATTTAGCATTCATCCCTATCTCACCAAGTCGCTAAGCTAGCTCAGTTTCCAAGCAGCCCACTGTGATCAAACCCTGTAGTCTCTTTCTGCTTTCCTCCAGAACAGCGATGCCCACATGGGCCCTATGACCTCTGATGGATACAGGGGCATCTCAGGATGTCTCAGTTCCCTTTGTCTCTTTCAGGCTCACAGCCTTTGTCCTTAAGTCCTTTGCCCAGGCCCGGCCTCACATCTTCATAGATGAGAAGCACATCCAGGATGCTTTGGTCTGGCTCACTCAGAAGCAGAAGGATAACGGCTGTTTCCGCAGTTCTGGGACGCTCCTGAACAATGCCATGAAGGTAATGTGTCTGCCTGGTTGGCTCCACGTGGGCTTTGTCAGGTTGGAACTTGACCATAAGTCGCTCTGGGACCAACAGAACTATTTCAGCACTTGGGGGCTGAGGAGGGGATGGGGAGTTATATATGTGAGCTATCACAGAAGCAGGAAGAAGCCAACAGCAGCTTCTGAGGACTTACCATGAGAAGGAGTCTAGGAAGAATTTGTCCCTGCAGGATGTAGATATCACAGAATCATGTAGGTTGGAAAAGACCTTGAAGATCATCCAGTCCAACCATTGACCTAACATTGACAGTTCCCAACTACACCAGATCCCTCAGCCTGTGTCAACTCTACTCTTAAACACCTCCAGGGATGGGGACTCCATCACCTCCCTGGGCAGCCCATTCCAACGCCCAACAACCTGTTCTGGAAAGAAATGCTTCCTAATATCTAGTCTGAACCTTCCCTTGAAGGGAAGGCAACTTGAGGCCATTCCCCCTTGTTCTATCACTTGTTCCTTGGTCAGAGAGACTCATCCCCAGCTCTCTGCACCCTCCTTTCAGGGAGCTGTAGAGGGCGATGAGGTCTCCCCTCAGCCTCCTCTTCTCCAGACTAAACCCCCCCAGTTCCCTCAGCTGCTCCCCATCAGACCTGTGCTCCAGACCCTGCCCCAGCTCCATTGCCCTTCTCTGGACACGCTCAAGTCATTCAATGTCCTTTTTGTAGTGAGGGGCCCAAAACTGAACACAGGAATCAAGGTGCAGCCTCACCAGTACCGAGTACAGGGGTCAGATCCCTTCCCTGTCCCTGCTGGCCATGCTATTGCTGACACAAGCCAGGATGCCATTGGCCTTCTTGGCCCCCTGGGCACACTGCTGGCTCCTGTTCAGCCGGCTGTCAATCACCCCCCAGGTCCCTCTCTGACTGGCAGCTCTCCAGCCACTCCTCCCCAAGCCTGTAGCACTGCTGGGGGTTGTTGTGGCCCAAGGGCAGCCCCCGGCATTTGGCCTCATTGAAACTCCTCCAGTTGGGATATGTAGCACATGAAGAAACCAGTGGTGCTGTGCAGGATCAACATCTACTTTTGTGGTTTCCTGCAGGGTGGGGTGAACGACGAGATCACGCTGACGGCCTACATTATTATTGCATTGCTGGAGATTCCTCTGCCTGTAACCGTACGTATCTGCACCCCAACCCGAGTCACAGGTGGTACTAGCCTGCCCTAGTAGTGGCCCCCTAGATTATCAGGTCTCTTTACCTTTTGAAAGAAGAAATCCTGTCTGAATATTCTTTCCATTCAAGGCTAGACTGGAATAACACTTTTCCTCCATTTTCCTCCCCTGTCCAATCCTGTCTCCCATATACACATTTCACTTAATCTTTTTATGAGTTCTTTTGTGGAGAATCATGCTTTTGCTCCTTTAAAAGAGTACAGCTTGGATTAACAGTGAGTTGAATAATATTTAAATATTTATGTATTTAAATCTCTGAAATGAGCCAAACAGGTTTTCTACACCTGCAAAAAAACCCTTTTTTTCTGTTGGAATAGTAAACTCCTGATGAACCACCTGTATGGGCCTATTGTGCTGACACAACAGCACAGGTCTGTAAAAAAAGTGGCATGCTCAAGGATTCATTCTCATTTTCTCTGCCTCTTCTAGCTTGCTTTATGGGAAATCCTCATCCTTAACACTTGGGGAATAAACTCAAAAGCAGTTTAACTGTTTCTCCAAAAGTGACCACAGAAGATTTCGTCTTCTAGTAGACACTCACTGAAGTCAAAGTACAAAGCCAAGGAAAAATAAGTCTTTTCCTTCTAGACCATTGATTAAAACTGTAAATCTGCTGTTAGGCTTCAGATCATGGCATGCCCCCCACCCCAACAGTGTTATTGCTTCAGTTTTATATCAGTTTTTCCATCACAAATGAGAAATAGTCACGTGTCTTGCAGAAAGTATGTGGAGTCACGGTGTCTGTTAAGTAACTGTTAAGCAACACTGTGTAGCTATGTAAAGTAGCTACATTTTGATTTGCTGTGGTGATTGCACTCTTAAACCATACTGGAGAATATGGCTTCAAAAAGACACACATTGTTGATGTTAACATGTCACAAAAAATATTCCAGAAATTAGAAAAAAAAAATATTCTTCCTTGTACAGAGATAGAATTTACCTCCAAACTAGAAGCTATGTTATGAAGCTCCAGCAAAATGAAGGCCCTGAAAAATTAAACTATCAAAAAGAAAGGACAGAGCAGAAGGTGAAAGCACAGAGCAGTCTCAGGGTGATAGTTAGAGGAGGAAAGCAAGTATCCAGTACATCTACAGAGGGGAAGTATATCAGAGAGCTCCCACTGCACTGAGACACAATCAGGTCAGCAGTTATTCTCAAGGCAGAAGGACTAGAGCCAATCTTTACAGTCTTTAAATCAAAATGGGATAAAACATTACAGCAAGATGTATTAAAGAAAATCATATACAAGATAAGGAACAGCCTTTGGCTGCCCATTCATTACAGGGGGTATTGGACCTGAATAGGAGGAGTACACAATGGCACAATCTTTGGCAGACAGGAGAGTGGGGACATCAAGAGTCCATAGGTAACATTAAATTCCTGTTCTAAGATGGACCTCAGTGTGAGCTCTGGATGTTCCAGCTCAGTCTCTCCCTCTCTCAACCCAGCACGCAGTGGTGCGTAACGCTCTGTTCTGCCTGGAAACGGCAGCAGATGAGAAAGAAAACCACGTGTACACCAAGGCACTGATGGCGTACGCCTTCGCCCTGGCGGGGAAGGAGGAGAAGCGGAAGGCATTACTTGGCTCACTTGAAAAGGAAGCTGTGAAAAAGGGTGAGTGCTCCTGGTGGGACACCTCTTCCTTCTAATCCACTCGCCTTGCATCTTCCCTTGAAAAAATGGCGTTTATTGGTGGGGCAATGGCTGCAGGAAATGGCTTCTGTGGGAGGGGAAAGGTGGAGGGAGAGGAAGGACTTGTGCAAAGGGGATGCATTCTTGAGAACTCCCTCTCAGTGCCCAGTCCCACCTCTCTGCTCCAAAGGAGTCCATCAGGAAGCACCAGGCACCATCCGCACCGGTGCTGAACTAAAGGGTAGCTCTGCCAGCGTCTCTGCTCAGCCCGCTCCTCTTGCCACACCAGGCACTGCTTAGCAAAGACTTTGCACAGCACGTAGGACAGGAAATCAGAGGAGACCTGGATGTGCTGAGAGAGAAAACGAGCATACAGGCCATTTTGGAGGCCACAGCACAAGCTGTGAGTCTCCCAGGAAATCGTGTTATGACTCACAAGCATTCCGGTAAAGTCAGGCCGGACAGCGGGTTTGCCCAAGCGTTGGGTAGCAGGGCTGTGAAGGAAATACCCCCGGCACCTTCTGCCGTCTCTGCCGGCAGGGGACTCTCAAGCCCTGGTCACATTCTTTGGGTTGTTTTGCCTCACAGAGCTTGTCAGTGCCCGACACCGGCACCTCTACTGAACCAGGCAAGGAATGCCAGCCTGGTGCTCTGCTCGTGCTGGAGCCCATCAATGTCTGTGTGAATCTGGAGTCTCGGACAAAGTGGTGTCCAGGCCTGGGGACTGAGCCTCAGCAGTCTCAGACTAGTTGTAAACCTGCAGCGAGTCCACACCTAACCCTTCCCACTTCATCCTGCATGACAGATGCATCCTGGAGGCTCTGTCCTCCCAATTGCACCGGCGCCGGATCAACAGCTCCCTTGCAATAGCTACTAATAATTGCTTCTTGTCTTGTCTCTGCGCTCCCTGCCTCCTGTGAAGATGGGTCTGTTCATTGGCAGCGGCCTGGGAAAGAGCCGGAGGTTGATCTCCCGTACTATCGCTACCGAGCTCCCTCTGCTGAAGTGGAGATGACAGCCTACGTGCTCCTTGCTCACCTCACCAGGCAGCCGGCACCCTCCCAGGAGGAGCTGTCCTATGCATCTCTGATTGCAAAGTGGATCACTGCCCAGCAGAATCCCAACGGAGGCTTCTCCTCCACCCAGGTGAGCTGCTTCCCTCCTGCCACCTCACACATCAGTGGCACAGATGGGAGGAGTCAGCGACCCAGGTGGGAGCACACTGAGGCTCACCAGGGCAAGCACTAGCCCCCCAGCATATCCCGGGTTGACAAGTTCCCCAGAGGCTCGAGGCAACTATGTCAGGCACTGCCTCGGGGAATGGCCGGTACTTTGATTAATGACCTGATTTCCTCGACACAGTGGGACAGAACAGTAGGGACACAAGGGATGTGTGTCTGTGCTTTGGGGAGGGCTCCC